TTCTCCAGATCGACCGGGCCGACCCGCTGTGGGCCCGACTGCTGCCCCGCGCGGACCTACTGATTCTCAACTCGGGCCACTGGTGGATGGGCGGCGGCAAGGAGAAGCTCTTCGTGCTGGACGGGGAATACCGCCCCGATCTCAGCTGGAGCCGCGCCTTCCGCATGTAAGATGCTTCCCCAGAATAGTTATACAGCTTCTCCCGATCAACCTGCCAGTTTTAGTGTCATCTAATTAAGACTAATTTCACTCAACATCAGATCGACTAAGTTAGTCTAAAATATTCACTAAAACTGGCAGGTTGCTCGGAAGAAGTGTAACAAGCTCAATTCAAAGTGAGAACGAAGCTAACACTACCCCTACAGTCACCCGCTCCGCACCCGTGCCCACCCTAACCCCCAGACTAACCCCACCCGTCCCAGTACTATAAGTTGAGCTTACTATACCCTTTTTTGGAATATGACGATACAAGCCTCATGTGCTCGGTTAAGGAATGGGGTAGGCAAGTCGTATCGATTTCAGGTTAACATGCAGCCAGTTCGAGATAGATCAGTTGCCGGGGGACGGGTAGGGTTACTTTTGGGGTTAGGGCGGAGCAGATGAGATTGCATCTAGGGTTTTGATTCAGTGCGGCCTCCCGCTTTTGCTTGTGTATCTCGACCTGGCTCAGCGCAACCTGAACGATCGAGACTTACGAGTAGGAACCTGTATCTGAGACTATACCCATGCTTTGTGCTTAGTGGAACGGTGAACTGGATCAAAGCTGCGTTCAGGTTGAGGTCGAGCCACATTTAGCAAGGTAGACGGTTTGTGAACCCTCCTTCGACTTCTCCACTTACTTTTCACTGCATGAAAATGATCCGACGGACTCCGGATCCTTCTGTTTCATTCTTCTCTTTCTGCTCTTTCCGCAACACCGAAAACCCGTCGAGAATGAGCCATATCTAGCAAGAAAGCATTATCTGAACCCCTCCTTTGATCTTCTACACTTTTTCTACAATGGAACTCAAGGGAATCGGTTCCTTCCGTTTGAAACTTCTCTTTCCGTTTGTCCGTAGCGGAATGAAGCATGTCCGGAAAGCTGTGGAGAGGTCCGGCTTCAACGGCACCGCCATCTTCCGGACGTTTTCTCCTTCGCACTACCAAAAGGGCGGCTGGAACTCCGGCGGAACGTGCGACGCAACGGAACCGAACCCGCAGCTCCAACTCGATCCGTACGTCCGAAAGTGAGGCCCCGCTTTCGGACGGCTCCTGAGACCCGCGCTTGCGGACGCTCTCTTCGAGTCAACCCGCTGTTCTGCCCTGCCGCGCTGAGGTTTAGATCGGACAGTCCTTGATCAAGCTTCCCTCTTGGCTTTCTCAAAAGGTCGGAAGCGAGAACCTCCGACAACTAATCGCGGTTTCCAGGCTGCTTTCTAGTAAGTATTCTGGCCCAAAAGTTCGTCTACTCAAGATAAGCGACTTCCGATGCCAGACACCTCGCGAAAGTTGCGTGCGCAGCTTCATAACGGACGTTGTTACAACCCCGCTTTGCAGCCGCGCAGTAGCTCCAACTCGTGTGGGCATTGGAGATACTGCGCGAGCAGTGTCGGTCTTCGCGACATGTGTCGCACAAAGCATCTCGTTTGAGCAATCTTTACAGGCTTGGGCCTCTCCTACAAAGATTCCTTCACGCGGTATCCTGACAGTATCTTGAGCTTTTGCGCTTTTGGCCTTCGCTTGAGATTGGCAGGAGAAGGTTGCCCCTTGAAACCATCGCCCATTCTGGAAGTGACCTGCGGACATCTTACTCCGGACCCCAATCATTAGGAACGAAACAGGACGCCTCAATCGGGCTTCTATCCCTCGGAAATTCACAGTGTGTCACGTGCAGCTTCTGACCATATGATTCTCACTCCAGGCAATCAGAAAACTGAAAGACACACCTCCTTTTGCCCCCAGTTTCCTCGACTTGACGCGCATGGTCTTTGCCAACTCGACGTTCCAAGTGATGGAGATCAGCCGGCTCAGCGCCTACCGCAGAGACGGCCACGTGGGCCCCATCGCGGGCGCGAGCGCGACACGTGGCGTCCAGGCGGACTGCACCCACTGGTGCGCGGAGGGTGTGACGGACGCATGGGTGGACATTCTGCAAGCCATGCTGCGGACGGAATGATTGTGGACGGAAAGGCTGTGGTGCGGAACAGATGTGGACGGAATGGCGGCGGATGAGGTGATTGTGCACCGAGTGGCTTGAAGAGAAATGATTGAGGGCGGAACGTTGCGGACGGATTGGTGGCAGACGGGATGAATGCGGACGGTGGCTGTGAAGGGGATATTTAAGGGCCCAAAGGATTGCGGACGGAACGACTGCGAACGGAATGACGGACGGAGATCATTGCGGGTGGATCATCTACTGCCCATAGCATAAATGGAGGGATGACGCTGAGCGTTGGCGGGCTCTGTATAAGTGGACCGGACGGAAGGAGGCAAGCGGACGGAAAATTTGCGTCCGGAAATATCGATCGAGGAACGGACGAAGAACGACTTCGGACGCCGGCCGGAAGTGTCCGGATAGGGGCGGACCGAAATCGAAGATTGGTAGTAAAGTATGCAGGAATTCTGTAAACTCAGAGCAGGTAAAGTTTCATACCGTAACAAATACTAGTGCTAGGCTTCACTAGAGTGAATGTTGGCAGAACATTCAAGATAGGTGAAGAGTTGCTAGGGGATAGACGCAAACGTGCGCGCAGCTGGCGCTTTAGCTTTGACTCTCCAAAGAGCGCTTTGGTTTCTGACATTCCGCCTTAAAAGCTGGCCTGTTTGGGCGGTCGTTACTCTAAGTTCAACGGCCGGTTTGCATTCACGCAGTCAATCTAATCTAAGAAAGTAACCAGGTTTTGCGAAACCCATGTACGTACGTAGAGAGACGAGTGGCCCGCGCATTCGTCTCCGAAACGTTCAGATGACATAAGAAGCTCGCGAACACTGAGTGGCGAACAAATTTTTCAAGTATGAAAAGCGCTCAAAGGGATTACATGACGCGCATAGTGCCTGGGAATCATCCGAATTCATCATGAGGCGCACCTCAGCGCAAAATGGAAGCAGGACACATGCGCGCACATTAGGAAGCCTTGGAATGGTTGATTTGTTTTCATCTGCAAATGAGTCGGCAGGGTTGACTGGATATGTATGGAGGCTTATTCGCCAAATGATGCTCGTTACGTGCGGTTTCGCCTCGCAGGATCTTTCATATTCACCACCGTACTCGAGATGGCACAGTACATTGTAGGTCACTCACTGCGAGTCGTAACGATCGCGTGGGACTTTACTGAGATCGAGGGCCACATATCCTATGAAAACACACTTAACGAGTCCGACAAAGATTGTATACCCGCTCTGCGTATACTTGGACCGGTACCCTCGTCACCTCAGATCAGTCAACAGAAAGCCAAACGTTCCCGGCAGAGGCCCTCTGACTTAGCAATCGATGATCATTCTTGGAAGCGTTTCGATATCTGCGAGATGTCCTTTTCCCCGGCCATGCGCCGTCGGCACGTACTAGCTCTTAGCTCTTCTAGCATCGTCTTACACACTTGACGAAGTTGTGCGTGCTTGCGTGTGAAACAAGCTGTGCCCGCAGTCGCGACTTCAGCTCGTCTCGTCAATCATCGTAATTCTCGCCTTTAGCACTTACTTACACCTCATGGTATCTGATTATGCAGATTAGAACGTACCCGTGTCTACTTGCAAGCCGTTCAAGCTTAATGCAGCTGCACTTTTCGCCAAATCACGGCCACACGGAATGTCACACTGAGAATTATCCGCAGAAATACTGGTCGATACAGCCATGTAGATGAGCTCATTCTACAACAGTTGGTTCCATTTTAGCGAGCAGAGCAATGTTTGTCCACATCACCTAATGATGTCTACCTGGCACGGCCCGCTAGCTGTCAATCAGAAGTTATCCTACCTCAGGTCAGAAACTCTCCCGCGTGAATTATGGTACACTCTCCCGCGAACTTGCTCGTCTACTTACACAAGCGAGCCGCCTTATTATTGCTCTATGCGTCCCAACGGTTTTGGAGGCCTGAGTTGCGCGTACTTGATCTCTGGATAATATCCCTATCCCCATCCCTATTATGGTCACACTTGACGATTATCTTACAAGGCGGTGGCCCTTTTATGTTCCGACTCTTGGTTTGTACCTACCGGTCAACTTTGGCGCCTCTAAGTTTAACCTTCCTATGATTTGCGAGAAACAAGCAAGCCTCCAAACCATTATGTGTCACTATCACCTTCAAGCAAAGGGCCTCGGGGCTCGCGTGCCCGACCGCCCGGTCTCTGCCTACCAAGCTACCTTTTCTCATATTTGATAGTGCCCGGTTCTGAATCACCGGGCGCTTCTCAGACCATGGACAGCGGCCGCATGACCCGAGCGTAACTCGCCATCTCAAAACTCTTCTGCCCGGTAGACACGCCCGGTGGAAAACTCCGGGCATAGTTCACATCCATGGCCGAGCCAGCGCCATAAAGTTTGCCGTTCGCCGGCGGGTAGCTCTCCCCGTAAAACGGGAAATAAGGCCCCGGCGGGCTTTCTGGATAGGACACGTTAGCAAAAGCAACGTCACCGAAAGTGACGTCAGCCGCGGTAACTCTACCAAAAGTGACGTTAGCAAACGGGCCTCGGGAGGTTGCAGGGGGGCTCCCGCTGAAAGGGAACGGGCCCATTATGCGACTTTCGTTTTTGACCAAAGAGAGCCCGTTGTAAACGGCCCGGTTTGCTGGGGGCGGGATGGGACTGGGGCTGGTGGCCGGAGGAGTTCCCCCTGCGGCGGTTGGGGTCGTTGGAGCCGAGGAAGTTACGGCGTCGAACAGGTCAAGAAGGTTGAGGGTCTGCGAAAAAGAGGAAACCTCTTAAGGTCAGCTCATACGTCGGAGATTGCAGCGTGTGAGAAAGTTCTTGTGCAACGGTCCAAAGACACGGCTGGACAGATCGCCTGATCCAGACTGTCACGAAACAGACTAACGAAGACCTCCCAAAAACCTGACCAAACCTCTGTGTACAAGGGCCGAAAACCCGGTGTGTCTCATGCGTTTGACGGAGGCTTGCGTTATATGGAAAAAGATGGGGGACAGAAACACCATTGAAACGTGAGAAGCTGACCCATTCAAGGGTCAGTATATGGGACAAGGATAAGGGGAATCCCGAGTAAGGAAGGTCCTACTAACAATCCTACTAACAACTGCTGATTTCTGCGCAACTCAATCTGGTACGGGACAGGATCCTGATCCGAGCGGAATCTGATGCTTACCTCCTGAACGGACAGCTGCAACCGGAACTTTGGCCCGTCGTAGTGGTGCAGAATGGGCCGGAAGTGATCCTCGTCCAAGGGACTGCACTGCTTGCGGACCTTGATGCGGACCTGCAGTGCGAAGTGTCCGATCTTAGAATCTGCAAAAGCGCCACGTGGCGTTCGCCTTTGTATCGTTTCGCTGAGGGACTAAATATACCCTCAAGCAAAACACGATGGGAATCTTCAAAGATAGAAAAGTCAGCACTGAAAAGAATGACGAGTACACATCAGTAAAGCCTCGCACAAGACTCTGACATGACTCCATTCAGAATTCACTGGCTAATGGTAGACTGAAGCGGACCATCGTAACGACAAACTTGTCTGGTTACTGCTAAATTCCTATCCGAAAAAAGGTCAAGAAGGAATATGACTCTTTAGGCTCCTTCAGCCCCAGATCGTTCGCTTTTCTACGGCCTAGAATGGCCCGAGTCAGAAGCAGATGGATGCAAAAAGAACGCCGTTGGTATGTCGACGGTGTGACAAAGTTGGCACTTCCATTCTGTCCCTGCTACTTAGCCAGAGCGCTGACAGAATGAAGATCGTCCAATAGGTTGGAAAGTCGAACAGAAAAGTAGAGAGTGCCAGGGAAGAACCACGACCGAATTTCATTGTGTTCTGAATGTCTGCTTTTAGCTGCAGTCCTGCGGCACAGCAACCTTTAAGCAGCCGAGTTTCGCTTCCAAGAACTGGTTCGAGTCTTCCAAAACGTCCTTGTCCCCTACCAAAAGCAAACGCAAAGAATTTTTCACCTGAGCTGGAAATCTGGACTCTCCCTTGGTCTTCTTATCCTCCCACGCATTTGGATCGAGGTTGGAACCTCCAAAACTAGTAGCCTGCAGACGCATAAACAAAGTGAGATAAAGCAAACAGACTGCCAAGTTGGCAATTCGGATTTTCGGAAACGAGCTGGCCAACTAGCTTCGCTGACCCCCTGCCTGGTAAATCAGTGCGTAGATGAAAGAGCAGATCCAACCAGGCCAATATCTAATGAGGTGAAATCAAAGAAAGGCACTTCAAGGGGATCTACTGATAGCATGTGCAGGCCAAACCTGTCCTGAAGTTGACGCCTATTCTGTAAGATCATCTATAGTATCGCAGGATCGACTAAGGTTGCGTCTTACTGCAGATACAGCAAGTAAGCTTCTGACACCACACAACGAGCTGCAAAGATCCGGCTTACGACTTCTGACACAAATTTTAAGCTGCACGGATCAGGTCTCACCTCATATACGCCGTGCAACTGATGTGTTGTGTAATTGTACAAGAAGAGGGGCAGTCCTGGCTGGATTGCCCGCACAGAGTCACGGTACCGCTGAGGGAGACCTGTGAGAGGGTAGTGACGTCAACAAGGCTGCCCTTGCAAGCTTCTTTTCAAAGAAAAGGTCTTCCAAGCACTCTTCTTTTCAAGCATGAAGGCAGGATTTTCTACCTCCTACCTCAAGGTGTGAAATATCAGGTGAGCTTCGAATGTGTTCAATCTCCGTGAAACTAGATGTGAAGGTTCTGGCTAAAATCTGCCATGCAAGTTACAGGTAGTTAATGCTAGCTTGTGAGGGATTCAATGAAGAAGTCACTGTGAGGGCCAGTGATTGATTGCACAACAAACTCAAAGGCCAGTTCTTGACCTGCAGTGGTCATGACACTTGGATGAGCTCCAATTTAAGGGCAGCACAGTATGAGCTCAACTTCTGAAGTTGTCTAAGGGCCATGGCCAAACATAGAGGTGTGAGCAAAGAAGTAGACTGTAATACGAAGCAACGAGCTTGTCAAGACGAATATCGTATCTCCAGAAGGAGCGTCGCATTTCATGAAGGACCAAAAGACAAGGAATGACAAAGCATGGAAGTCGTGATGCGTGCAGGGTGTGTGCCTTTGGTGCGATCCTCGTGATGACCTTTTCAAGTGGTTGCAAAGAGATTGAGACCGTTCTACAAAGTGAAGAAATTTTCATGACATGTTGCCAAAAAAACTACTCTATTTTCTCAGGAAACTTCACCTTGAACAAAACTCATGAATCAAGCTTGCAAAGAGCCTCACCAATCGACGCAAAGAAACAACTTTCATTCACCAACCAATGCGCTGCCTGTGATTACTTAATATCCAGGTTCAGCAGAAGTAAGGGAACCTATTTTGTTGGCAGACCACACAGCGCCTGACTAGGAGAAGTCTCTGTTCAGGAGTTAGCTGCAACTTCTCTGATAACCTTGCACAGATAAAGTTGAAGCTGAGAAATGAGACAATGGACCCAAATGAAACTCACCAAAAAGTCTTCGCCTCAGGTCATCCTCCATGGTGTCATTGTTGCAGACAAAGATGTAACCCCCCAAAGGCTCATTCCTAGGGAGGGATTCAGCAGGGGGAAGGCTCTTGAACCTTCTATCCTGGTTATTGGGCCCCATGCTTTGGAGCTGATGAAGGGGAATGCCATTGAAAACCCCTGTCATCTTGTAACTTGCGTGCTTATACCTTGTGAAGTTCTTTGCTATGTGGTCTTGTATCCTGAGCCCTTGCCTACCTATTTTAATTGGTGGTTACACCACTAGTCCCAAGCGTACATCTTTTGATGCTTACATCAAAGCCAAAAACTGATTGCCTGCTCTCTGCACCAATTGAGACTTCCTTACTGACCCGAAGAGTCCAAAATCAAAACCATGTTGACCACCCTCTTTCAGGACAAAGTTCAAAAGGAAGTAGAAAAAGTTAGAAAGAACCACACGGCAGCAAGTACGGCCCTCCCAACCCAAGCTCACTAGCGGCCCAACATAACTATTGTCCGGGGCATTTTGGGAGGATGAAATCTCAGGTCCTTCGGCCCTTCCCCCTCTTTCCCCGGAATCCGGATGCCCTAGCAATAGGAAATAGGAAACGCAAAGCGTGCGAGCGTGGCGAGAGACCAGCTCGTGGCAACCGACCCTGACAGCCTGCCTGCAAGGCGTCAGAGCTGGTGACTTCCAACAGACAGGTGTTCCTAGCTCAAGGGCAGCACCATGGTCGAAGTTTCGCATCTGACAAGTACCGGTATTTGTTGCATGTGAGCCTTCTCAAGGTAGGTAGGTAGGTAGTCAGTACGTGTGCACTGCAAGTACCTGCTAGTACCAGGTAACCAGGACTGTTCAGATCAGCAAGCTGGATCGAAATGGATAACCGTACCTAACCGTTTTGGTACACAGCTGGAAAGCGATCTGCAAAGCGTACACTTTTTGGTTCGCGAATCTCAGGATATCAACCCACATGGATCGAGTGGAATCCCGAGTCTGATTTCCGAGCGATTCGATACGGGCGAGCGGCAACGCTGACGCCTAGTGCCTATCAGAAGGCTCGGATCGAATGCTGGGCGACAAATCGCATACACTCGCCACCCATATCCATGTGATCCGGATTTACGAAGTCGAGACGTACTATCTGTACTTCTCGGTTTAACAGTGACCAGCTTGCGACACGTGGCAACTGTTAGTTCAGTACACACGCTGATTTGTCAGCCCCACATGGCCCAAGCCTAAAGTTGGGGTACACAATGCACAATATGGCTACACGATCATTGTACAATATCTGACATCAGCTAGGCACCTACTCCAGGGGTTCTAGCAGGATTTTGCCCGGAGGTGCTGTGGCGCCCCTGGGCTTCGCCCCGGGGCGCCGACCAGCTTCCCTGGGGCGCCCAAGCCCGGGCGCCAGCGCCCGGTACAGTAGGTATTCTGGCGGAAGCTGTGTTTAACCGAGCCGAATTCGTGCATACCGGTCCTTGGGCTGCATCCTGTGCCTCAAGACGTCTGTCTACAGACTACCTATATACGGTACAAGCGGTCGGCAAAAAGTCAAAAAGAATCCGTGCCCTCGTATCCAAAGCAGATTTATTGTTATCATCATGATTTTTGGCCAAGTGTAGAGGGCTCGACTTATGGGATTTGTAGCATTTTCAATTAACTACAAGTGCTTATCTCCAGCTCCTGGAACCATATGGGCTTCCTTTGTGTCCTGATATGTGCAGGCAATTGCTCTGATAATCTGTAATTAGAATCCAAATTAGAGTTCCCGGTTGTGGCGGCCTGGATATAGTACTTTCCAAGAGTAGGCGGGGCCTGCGGCCCAGGGCGCTCTGGCGCCCCGGGCTGTTGCCCGGGGGCGCCAGGATTTGCCCCGGGGCGCTCTGCGCCCCGTTTGGCGCCCCGCCAGAACCCCTGACCTACTCCCTATCTGCCATGCACCGCGCATTTACCGGCGTAAGTAATCTACTTACCCGTACCTACGGTAATAACTTCTGAGCGGCCCAAGCGCCACCCCGGGGTCTCCAGGGGGCCGGCTAATAGCGACCGCCGACGCCCGGGCTAACTGCAGCTGCCGTTCAAGTTTCCAGCGGCAGATACGGTAGGTCGGGATCTGGGACCCGGTAGCAATCTTGAATCGGAACCGGGACATATTTTCAGCGCGGCCTTCAGCCTTGCAAGATGATGAGTCTTGAGGGCATGGATGATTATGTACCCTGGAGACTTGTGAACTCTTGAAGTCGTAAGATCAGAACGGCCAGTCAATGAGGCGTTTTACATGAGAGGTGGGTTGCCGAGGGTAAGTGCCGACTTACCGCGCACTGTCGCGACTAAACTTGTACCGCCCAGACTTACCGTGGGCTCGTCGCGATCGGCGTTTTACATGGTCCGAGGGTAGGTAAGTCGATGGAAAGTCCCGATCGAGGGCAAATCCGCACTCATTTCGGACTTACCACGACTTACCACGACTTACCTCATCGATTTCGATGAGTTAAAGTAGGGCCTACTTTACCGTCGGGAAACTCGACTTACCACGGTAAGTCGCTACCATGTAAAAGGCAAGTCGTGGTAAGTCCGAAAATCGGTTTACCGTCGGGACTTTAACCTCCATGTAAAACGCCTCAATGACGACTTTTGGCCAATCAGAGGTCTGCTTTAGGATTCGCTGAGTACTCAGGATCTTGAATGTGTCAGACAGCCTCAATTGTCTCCGGTTCCGACGGAAGACTGGCATGCACGAAGATAATCAATATGTAGGATAGGTATATGTGGAAAGAAGAGCCATACATTTCTTCAAGGCCCCTGCCCTGGAACGGGTGGGGTTAGATCGGGGGTTGAGGTTGGGCGCGGGGGTTGGGCACTGCTGCTGGGAGCAGGGAGATCCAGTTGGTTAGGGTCTACAAATGTTACAGGGGAACAAGGTTGGGTTAGGTACCGTGACAAATGCGCCTATGATCTATCCATAAATCCAGATGCCTCGCCGCTCAACAAATGGTGAGATAAAGAGCTCCGGGATCACACGCGCGGCCCTCGACGCCGACGGTGGCCGGCCGGCCCCCGCTATAGCGGCCGCGCGGGCGGCCGCGCCGGTAGTCGCTGGCCGCCCGAGCTAGCGCCGCGGCTCAAGATTGAGCTTCATGCAGCTACATAGTACGTAGCGCCAGCGCTTACCCTTGGCCCCGCGCGGCCCAGGTGGCTGCACAATGTGTACGTAGCATATTACTAAGGTAGAAAAGAACATCATTTCAAGGCTCGGCGATCTCAGATGGCAAATGCGAGCCGCAACTTGAAGGTGGGGGCCCGTGGATCAATGAGAGCGTACATAAGGTGCTTGGCATGCCGGGCACTCCGAATTAGAGACGTAGCACAAGAGTTCCAAGGAAAAGGAACTCAACTAATTGCAAACACAAATTAACGCGCGCCCATCTTCTAATCATATATTTGTCTGCTCATCCTATTTATCAATGTAAGCTAGCTCCAATAACGTTCCTAGTGCAAACGCGACGAGTGCGCTTGATTGCCTGACTTGCAGTTAACGCATGTTGCACATGTGAGAACCATGACATCCGACGTGGTTCATGCAGTACTTATCAGGCTTTTGGTGCTCTGCATATTGTGCTACGTGCAACAAGTACTCAGTGCATGGCTAGGCAATGTGACGTCCAACCAATACTAAGAGTCCACAATCGATCAATCATGATACTATATATATCAAGGGGTCACTTGTCAATCAAAATAGTGTTTAAGCAGCCAGCTAGAATGTCAAGGCCACCCGTACGTATCTTGCTTCTCCTAATAATCGTTCTAGCTGCTATGACATCGATCATAAGCGATCAAGTTTCTCCAATCGGGCCAAACTTTATTATTTATAGCAAGTTCGCCTCGAGAAGAAACTTATTTGGCAAACCAAATCAACTTTCCGGTACTATGGCATTTTGCCATCACTTCACTTGGAGCGGCGGCTATTACGTGTTACTGTAAATCTTCAATTTGACAAACGCAACAGCCTAGTACCCCTTAAGAAAATCCATCTTTTACCCTACGACCAAAGCTCAAAGAATCAAGCCACTATACTTGGTTTGAATCCGCCTTACGTATGTTCCACGGCCTTGGACCAGTTTATGCAGACACTGCTCCTGGATTGAACGCTTGAGGGCCTCGAACAACAGGCGTTCTCCCTATCATCGATCCTCCAGAAGATGCCCCATTGTTTGCCCAGTCCCAATCACAACCACAACCTCGACTCCGTATTTGACCGACACCCCCAATGTCAGTTGCGCGCTATCGCATTTTTCGCTTCCGAGAACGACTCCCACCGAGTTGTTCATGTCAAGGCGAAGTGCGAACACTCGATCCGGACACGGACGCGAGTGCGACGCCGTTGACCGGAGACGGACGTCCGGCGTCCGCCTCCGCCTCGGCGAGGAAGCGCGCGTACTTGTAGTGCGCGCCGAGCGCGGCGCCGACGATGCCAGCCTCGTTGCGCATGGCGGCCATCACGACCGGGGTGCCCATCGGAAGCTCCAGGTAGTGCGAGAACTAGAGGAGCGGACATTTTTTCGGGTTTGAGGGAGAAGTCAGATTTCCCTTTGAGGACTAGGAGCAACGTGTCATGTTATGTTAGTGATGGGAAGGGGTATGGAAAGAAGCAATGGAAAAGAAGATTTGGATTGGAAGAGAAGTACGGTGCATTATTGATTCTCAAACTTGGAGCAGGACAGGTGGCAAGCGGAGCCAAGACACGTTTGAAGTGGAGGCAAGAACGTGAGCGAAATCCTATGTAGATTCTCAGCGCCGTGGACCATCAATTTCGGAACAGGGCTAGCGCACGGTCCTCACCTTCTCATCCTTCTTGCTGACACCGCCTCCCATGATCTGCAAAAGATTTGCGCAAGGAAATCAGCAACTCAAAGCGCTCCTCTACTTGACGGAGAAGCAGCCAGCTTAGCCCGCCTCTTGCCTTACACCGGCCTTCGTCGCTCGACCGGTTGGCGCTTTGTCCGAACAAGGGACAAAGTTGTCAGCACCGGTCAGTGATGAGCAGAAATTGGGCTCGGGGAATGTCACTGCCAGTTGTGCTTGTCGGCGACACAAGCGCAGAGGGGCACAACTATACAGTCGCCGTGTTATGTTAGGGGAACCGGTCCCTCGACGCCCTCTTTCCGTATCTTGAGACTCCCGTGGCGGCGTGCCTCTCGATCGAACGCGCATAAGACAAGTACGCAAGAACAGGATCAAAAGCTCCCCATAAATGTCGCTCAAAGGAAGAGCTTACAGCTAAAAGAAGCCTAGTGGCAGTTCTTGAAGCGCCTATATGCTTTTGAAAATACTCAGGCTCAAGATAGGGTGCCGAAATGCTATGCAAGGGCTCAAGATAAGGCCTGGCGAGAGGACGCGCGGCAGCTTGCCTGCCTTACGCATTTCGTGGAGTCTGGATATAAGAAGACGAAATCCGGACAAATCTGATAAGCTATGGTAGGCGGCGCTAGAGCTTGCCCAGGTACTGGCTGGCGCGAACTGTGGCGTTAAAGAAACTGCAACGAATGCATAAGCAATTGACTGGCTCCCGATAAGGTCTGGCACGAGGAGGCGCTACAGCTTGCCCGAAGTACTGAAGTTGACGCAGAATGGGCCCTCCAGATTGGGCCCTCCGAATTACACAGACAAGAGTTTCAAATAAGCCGGACGAGGACAATAAGCTACGGAACTAGAGTTAAGGTCTGGCGACAGACGGGGCTCCAGCTTGGCAAAACATTGGCTGACGCGTATCTTTGGCGCATATTTGACCATGGATGGCGTGTAAGCAGGACGTAACGAATACCCTACGAAAACGCTCACGATAAGGTCTGGCGAGAGCAGGCGCTCCAGCTTGCCAAGGTATTGGCTGACGTCTTTTCTGACTCGCCAATTTGTGTATATCAACAAACAAATACAAAACAAATCACAGACAAAACAAAACACAGAATTCAGCCAGAAATCGTAAGCTTTGGAACTACTCACGATAAGGTCTGGCGACAGCAGGCGCTCCAGCTTGCTGAGGTACTGGCTGACGCATATTGGCCCCCGAAAATGAGGAAGTAAAAGTTATAGATAAGCTGGGAGCAAACGATAAGCAACGGAACAACTCACGATAAGGTCTGGCGAGAGCAGGCGCTCCAGCTTGCCGAGGTACTGGCTGACGCGCCCGGCCCACTTCTTCCAGCTCATGTCCTCGCGCTCGCGCGCCGCCGATGACGCCAGCTTCTCCGCGACCTCGCCGTCCATCTCGATGTGACCCAGTTCTAGATTGGGGACCTTCACAGAGAGCAGTAAAGGAACTTGAAGAGAATCGGTAGGCCAGACTTGACAAGTAACAGCGTAAGTAGATTCCCGCCGTCCATCTCGATGTGACCCAATTCTAGATCAAGGACCTGCACCATGATTCGTGGAAGAACCTCAATGACCAGTAGGCCTATTAGCTAAGAAAAGTGAGGTCAAAAGGGGTTCGGAACCTCTAAGCCCCAAATGCCTCACCAACTTTCCTTCGATATACAAAGCGGTTCCGAACGAGTTACCAGGATCTGATCAAAGATTTCCGACGGGATTGTAATCCTGTGACGATAATCAGCCCTAATATGTGGGACTAGATTGAAGTTAAAGACCCCAACACCCTGAAAATGTTACCAACTTTCCCTTGATGTACAGAGCAATTCGATTTCCATTCCGACTGTGGTCCTAAACTACGTCTTCGACCAGATACCAACATGTATCAGAACAATCAGAATTTTGAACGAGATTGGAGACGGACAGGAGTGAAAATGCACCCAAAGAAATCAAGACCTAACATTTCAAGAGCCTTACCAACTTCCGGATCCCGTTTCCAATCCCGGTTCCAAACGTCGTTACCAGCACCACCTTACCCCTGGAGTTCGCACAAAGTTTCCATGGTCCGAAACCCTGAAATCGGTAGCCCTAAATCCTAAAGCTTCTAGAACCCTAGGAACGCTTACCAGCTTGCCCTCCACATAGAGCGCGGTTCCAATCTTGGTGGTTCCAGAGGTGGTTAACAGCACATTTATGGAACCTAGATTACATGGCGGTACGTTCTTAAACTCGAAACAAAACCCAAAACCAAACCAAAACCCAAAACGAGACCAGAATTGAAGTGTTAAAACCCAAATAACGAAATGCCAAACCCCAATTCTTACCAGCTTCCCTTCGACGTACAGAGCGGTTCCGATCCCGGTTCCGAACGTGGTTACGAGCACCACCTCCTCTTCGTGCCCCCGCCCCTCGCCGAAGTTCATCTCCGCGAGACCCGCCGCATCGGCATCGTTCAAAACGACCACAGGGCAACCCGTCGCCTCCTCGAACAGCTTCTGGGCGTTGATGTTAACCCATGTCTTGTCAACTGCAACGCGGCGTTGTTTGATTGTCGTTAACGGACTGCGAAGCCGCTTATCAGCACACTAAGCATGTCTCAGCAGGTGAAAAACGTTGTACGGCAATTTGTTGTTTCCTCGATTTGAGGTGAGCATACGTAAAGCGGGGTCATAATCTCTATTGGTTCGTTTTGGCTGGGGATTCGAACGGCCTCCCAGGTAACATGAGTTGCTGTCGTTTCGCCAACTGCGACATAGCAAAACTTTAATTGTGCGGATTGTTCCGAATATCAGATTCCAAGTTCAGCTGTGGAGGAAACGAAAAATCGGCCACGCTCCGTTTCACTCCTCCACCAAAACGTCAAACTTTTGCAGGCTGCCAAAATCGTGCTTCGACAACTTTATACTGCGGATTCCGCCCTTGGAGGGAACCACACAGTTGACCGAGGGTCGTTTCACTCACTGTTGGCTGCAGTGTAAACGACCCCCCGCCGCACGACTGACGGCACACCAACCCCAATAACGCCCTTGAACTGCAGATAAGTCCAAAAGCCTGGTCAAGAGGGACGGCATCCCGGAGGGGCGGTCTGAACATGGGCTTCAGAAAAGCAATCGGACGGCATTTCGAACAGCAGCTTTGGAAGGCAGTTGGACGGAGACGGTGCAGAAGTGGGTATATTTGAGTGGTAAACGAACTGGTAGGCTCAAACGTACAAAGCAGGCGGGGGTTTTTGATAAAACATTCAGGACGACGGGTTTGGACGGCGGGTTTGGACGGCGGGTTTAGGCAGTGACTCCGAAGAGCAGGCTATTGGCGGAAGTGGGACGGCTCTACTGGAGATTAGATATGGATCGAAGAGCGGAAATTGGTTCGAAGACAGAGAAACGGACTTGAGGTTTCAGGCGGCTGTACTAGGAACAACAGGGGCTTTTGATGGCGGCATTGACTGGGCGGTCGTAGAGGAGGTTTGGCAAAAGATGCTGCTTAACCGGCTCAGAAGGGGGCTTGAAACCGCCTACCTGATCTGCGGCCTCAGATGTGCGCTCCGGACCGTTCCTTTTCTTTTCTTTTTTCATTTTCTTTTTTCGAACGGACAAAATAGGTACAGCTTCCCAACAGACAATACGAAATAAGATTCGGGGACAGAGAGGTCTGATACAGGTCGGATAGGCAGGACGGATACCTTTTACTCACGAAGTACAAAGAGAAAACGTGTTCATTATTGTGCATCATGCTGGCAGGTCAATTTACGAATGACACGTGCCGGGGTTGCGAGCGGAGATGGAGGGTCGGAAAGGACAGAACGTACCTCGAAGTGCTCGGCCAACTGCTTAATCACGCCTGCGATCGCTTCTGGTGTCGCCGGCTGCGGCGTTGGGATGCGGTGTCGCTCCGCCTGCAGCTCGCCAGTAGTGATGTCCACTGGAGCCGCTTTGACACCGGTCCCGCCAAAGTCGACCCTGCAAGATGGAGAGCGGTTGTTTCAAGCTTTTCTCGTTTTTACCTAAACTGCTAATCTTACTCCTAGGTTATGTAGATGAAGTCTGTCCAAGATGATCTTTCAATGACTTGAAATCGGATTGCTTCACGTGTCGCCTTTCAAGTAAGTACGTTCTTCAAGGCCTTTACACCAATCATGCAAAGTCAAGCTGCCAACTGAAAGGTAGGGCTGGGTTTCGGCTGGTTTGAAGGTAGGTTTAGGGCCACTTTGAAACTCATTCAGAAGGATTGAAAGGTTGATAAGCTATCCGTAAGTCAAGTTCAAGGGTTCTTTTTACACAAAGTGTTGTCAACGTCAATGTTGCACGTTTGAGTTGGATTCAGAGTCGGGTCTAGGGCTGGGTTTGGGGCTCGCTTAGGGCTCGATTACGTCACTCAGAGGTCCAGAACGGCATCTGCTGGCCCCGCGAGAGCTGGAGATGTAGTGAAAGGTTTGAGGATGCAGTCTGATGAACCCAGAGACAGGAAGAGTCACCCATACGAGCTCAGCAATTGGTGCTTGGATCACAAGTTCCAAAGTCGATCATTTCCGCCGTGGTCTCAGAAGTAGAGTCTCCCTGCGCTTGCAATGCGTTTGAACGGAATGTTCCTGGGCATCGCTTCGCTCTACAAGGTTGGCAATTTTGGCGGACACAATGCCAACAAATGCCTCAAAATTCAATTTCTAACCCCTATATGGAGGAACAGCACCGAAGGAGGACGCAAGAACTGCTGAAGAGAGCGAGGAGAAGGAGATATTTGAGCACTCAGACTTTTGTCGCCAACCCCGAGAATCTGGGAAAACGGCGGGGTGCCTGATAGTTGTGCATTGGCAGAAAGGCCCCTCCCTGAAAATTGAGATTATGTTTAGATGTGCCTTAATTTTCAAAACCGCGTTCAACATTGTCTTTTCTTGTAACTCTCACTACCCAATCAGATCCTCCATTTGCAGCTTATGAAAATGCTAGAAAAATGCTAGAAATGCAGAAAAGCTCACCCAAGAAACACATCCCCTTGCAGCGGCACAACATTCTTCAGGTCAATTGACGTCCTGTCCCCCCACTTCGACGTGCCTGCAATCCCGCACATCTCTTGCGCACGAACCACCATCGAAGGCCTTGACGGTTCCTGTCGTCGCTGAGGTAAGCATTCTGCAATGCTGTGCTTGGAGGCTGCAAAGGTGCTGCGGTTGCTACTCAGGCTCCGGGTGCGAACTAGAGACGGAGAGAAGGCGTGCGCAGCGCAATGGGGGAGGTTTGGTGAGGATTCTACGTGGCAATTTTGCAGCCGGGGAGTTGTTAGGGAGCCCGCCGGCAGGGGGCACCGGCTAACAACACTCATTGCTGTTTTGCTGCTTCAAGAATTGAATTGGCGAGGAAGTAGCTTCTCAAGCAATCCTTTGACCCCGGCAGCTTGATTTGGGCTGCAAGCAATCTCCCTGCCTTGAAATAGACAATTGGTCCCGATTCACACTCCCCGCTTCGCACACAATCTTACTGTAGCAAGCGAGTGGCTCCGAGAAGTTGCTGCTCAAAAGCAATTGCATTAGACTGGAGTGCCGACTTGTATAATTGTAACAGCATTTTAGAACCAAGGTCCAACAGGTCCAAGGACCAAGGAGCAAGCTGACTGGACACTGCAGTCTGCAGTGCACCCACCTGCGTCGAACTCAGAGTCGGCCTGCATGAGAGCTGCGCGTGGTAACGATTTTCGCGCGCAAACTGTTGGTATGAGTACCGTATGCAGGCTTTCGACCAAGCACCGTTACCATCATGGCACTGCAGCCCGAGGTTCAAGGGGATCCCCTGAAACAGAACGCACAGGCAGATTGCATGCGCTATCATCAATTTAGCTTGCATCTGAGTTTGGCTAGGGCCCGATATCATGCGCAGTCGAATTCGCTTATTTTTGATTTGTGGGCGTACGTGACTTGACGATCTGTAAACGTCGATTACGCCGCATCGATGCTTTTCCATGCTCAGCGCGTTCTCGATCGGAGTCCTTAGCGCGCATGTACTACCTGATTGGTGGGAGCAACAATTGACTCTGTATGCATGCAGCATGCATGTCATGCCAGAAGCCTGATCGATATCCAGCATGCCCTTGATTGCTTGGGCACACATGACGGCATGTGCGGTTCTCCAGCGCGGTCATATGCTGAGTGCAAGTACAACATACACGTGATATTTGACGGCTGTATGTTTCACGCTAAGAGCAGCACAAGTGAGCGCGCCGTTTTCGTGTACTTTGTGAAGAAGTAGGCGCTGCTCGTGCTCCTTACTCGCCTTGGCAAGATTATGCCCACACATATTCAATGACATGTTGGCCGTTTCGCATGTGGGAAGATGCCGCATGCATTCCTGCCCTTCTGCAAATACCATTATGTGCGCAAAACCCCACATTGCTAGCGATGGCCTGGGCAAATCCCGTTGAACAGTCATGAAGCCACAGATTGTGGGCTTCTGCCATGCTCTCATCCCAGCATCAAAGCGTCAAACCCTTTACAAATTTCTCGGATCGGTCAAAGCTTGAGAGTTGCCAAATCTACCAGATGCCGCATGGTTGGCCTTCCGTGGGGGCAATTCCAAGGGGCGTCCAAACCTTCCAAGTGGCGCAGTATCTGCGAGGACAAAGGGATAGAGCGAATCGGTCAGAACCATTTGGAGACCATTCTTAAGCTCTACTGTCGTTATTGCTCGAGTACTGACGATCGACGCTGAATGTGCGGAAGAAGCAGAATGAGAAATGCTTTCGTCATTGGACGAAAACGAACAGACCTTATGCTTCTTGAGAGCTGCGAGGTTCCGATTGGACGAGAAGCCAAAGGAAGCGGAAACAAACCGAAAGAACGAAGAGAGGAGAAGGTTGTGGAAAGAAGAACGACAGAAAGATTGGAATATCGAAGGAACGTAAGTGAAAAAGCAGGAGACTAGGTAAGGAAGGAGCGCAACACAGGGAAGGTCTGTCGTCACATCTTCGACATACAAATTCTGGTGGCTGCCTTGACCCTTTCTCAAACTCTCCCTCTGACCATTGAGTCTCCCTCTCTTCCCCAGGGCTACAGCCGTCGGTTTTACAACCCCGCCAATCACGATTGCTTGGCTACCGTCCTCACCGTCTATCTGACAAAGACAGCACAACTCGTCCGTACCTTAACCATCTGCTGCTTGTTGAGCGGATCGCCGATCATGATGGACGAGCGGCACGCGCGTGACGCCAGCATGGTGCGGACGCGCGACGGCCGGACGGCGTTCGCGGGGCTGCTCCCCCCAGGGCTGTCCGCGGCCTCGATCGGGGCGTCCGCCAGAAGGGACACCAGCTCGTGAACGTCTGCAGGGAAGCGACCGGGGGACACTTTATTCGTATCCAGGCAGGGGGGTAAGGCTCCAAAAGGGTCACGAGCGCTTGAGCAGCTGTAGAGAAGAGACTCGCGGAAAGATGAAAACCTCTTGGGTTCAGGCTGAGGAGGAAGGTGGATAAGAGCAGAGACGCAAGCTCGCGCATGTGCCGGAACAGTGACAGGGGGGTTAAAGAGGACGTCGGTCTATACATACCGTCCCGGCTCGATTTTTTCCAGACCAGCTCGGAAGCACATCGACTCCTAGCACAGTTGGCAAGGGCGCTCGACTTTCACCGTGAAAACGAGCGATCGAAACTCGGTCGGAGCAACTTTACTCCTTTTTCTCACCCCGTGCAGGTCGAACTCACACCGGTTTTCAAATTTCACGTCACGCGGGCAGACTTTCCGTGCGATAGAATTTCACCGTATGCGGCTGACGTCAGGCGTTACGGGTCACGGGACGCCCTCTTAAAGAGGACGCAAAGGGGGCGAAGGCCAAAAGCAGGGACACAAACGTGCGAAAATCTGTGGAGAAGCGACTTCCACTTAGAAGTAAAAAGCGTCGACTCTTCCAAGGAGCAGGAAGACTTGAGCGGGGACACCAGCTCATGAACATCTGCAAAACTTGCGACCGGGGGAGGATGAGTGAGGCGACGGGGGGGAGAGAGAAGCTACTAAATCATCCAGAGGGGGGGGAAGCTAAAGCAGGGACGCGGGGTAGGGCAGGAATCGTAATTTCACACCGGTGGGGGGAGAAACTATCCTAAACCTGATTTCAAACCTAATTTTAACCGTAGACCCAGATCAAACCCGTAGAGCTATTCCTTAAAAGCTACACTTACACCTACACCTACACTTACACCTAAACCTGAACCTGAACCTAGTTCACCCTAAGCCTAAGGCTGAAATGCCTTCCACACGTTCTCTCACCGTCGGGCCCGAACGTGATGTTCTTGCTGAAGGGTACTGCCGCGAGCTTGAAGCGCCGCCCGGCGGGCGCGTCCCGAGCCTCGACCAGCTCGAACCCGTTCCGCCGGAACGCCTGCAGGTGCGGAATCGTGTGTGTGAGAGATGTCTCTCGTTTAAAACAGATTGTCGATGGATTGGCGAGGAGCAAAAGCTTCCGAAAGATTTAGTGAAGCAAGCAACTCACAAAAATAGGGCTGTGGATGCAGGCCAAGGGCCGAAGAGCCTGCTTGCATTGCTTGAATCCCACATCGAAATAGCAGAGCCTGCAAAGAACGTTTACACGGACGTCCAACACCGTGCAGCCCTCAATTCTACTTTTCTTTTTAACATTCTTCACACCAGAAGTTTCGAGGATGTCAGGAGCACAATCTGATGCATTCGTACCTGCAAGTGCTCCTGGCACGTAACCTCCTCCGCGGCGGTTAGGTCTAACCCGAGCGGGTTAAGCAGCGGTTGTTTGTTGAGCACGGTGGTCCGCACCAGGCGCTCAAAGTTGAACTTCTCGTCGGAGGCGTGCTGATCGACGATAAACAGGTCGTTGTCGAGGCGCGCAATGATGAAGCCAAGGTTAAATTGGCCGCACACATCCATTTTGCTGCAAGAAGAAGGTATGCGCATCAAAAGAGTTGTTTAGATCTGCGTTACGGACGGGATCCTCGTAGGATGCAAGCTGGTTACGATAAACAGGTCGTTGTCGAGGCGTGCAATGATGAAGCCAAGGTTGGACTGTCCGCACATCGCCATCCGGCCGCAAAAGAGACATATGAAACGTGGGTAAGCGGAGGGGTTAAGTTTCGGGTTTGGGAGCGGCTGTCCTAGGCCCGTTCGCCGCCGGTTATCTTCTGTACACAGAGAAGGGTGCGCAATGGTCTTGGGGAAGAAAACACCTCAAGGTATGTTTGAAGGGAGACGATAGTAAAAACTGGAAAGGATTCTCATGGCAAGATCAGCAGTAAGCATCCAATTTTCGGATACCAAGATGTTTTGGCCACATCTGAGGGAAAGGGTCTGTAGATACCCAGGAAGTGATGCCTTGTTCGTCAAAGGAACAGGTGCGACATTTCACCTGCGTTTCAATCAAAAAATGTATCGCAACACATTGCAGCATAGTCTGATTACAGGATTCAAAGAGGCCGCTCAAATTCAGTACAGTTATTCGGAAGCCCGCAAAGCTCAACCAATTCAACTAAAGCAATGCGTTGCTCTAATCTATAGAAATAAGCACATTCGCAATTAGAATCTTTGGTTTTAGTAAGCTGCTTATAGAATCAACAAGAATGAATGGATTAAGAGATTCACCCCTTTTCCTTCTCCTAACCTCTTTAGGGCTTGACCAATCAAAAAAGTAAAATATTTGTTGTATACGGTAGACTGTACTGCCGAAGGGCACCTGAAAGCCACTCACGGGATAGGCATCTTTCTTCGAGCACATCATTGATCCCAACTCATGGGAAGCCCCCGGCCCCAAACACCAAAACATCAAAGTCAAGAAAAATAATAGGAAGCCGAGATAATAGTAAGGTAACCGCACTGGGACGGGTAGAGTTAGTTTGGTGATAAGGGTGGGTATGGGTGCGGAGCGGGTGTATTCTTGGGTTAGGGTTTTTAGTGTTTGTCGGAGCTTACTATTATCTTGGCTTACTATTATCTTCCTTGAGTTTTATCACCAAATCCAGGATCTTCGGAAAGCCGCAAGGTTCCATATAGAACCCACCAAGCTCCACACCCCACCAACTGACAAGAACAAAGTACGACAAGAGCGACGACAAAGCTCACCCAAAGTCCTTCTTGTTGAACACCCGCTCCAGCTCATTAGTTGCCGCGTCTAGATCGCCCGCCTCGGCCCGCCCGAGCGACGCCGCCGCAAACTGCCGCCCCCGCTTCCTTTCTCTCCCCGTTTCTAGTTGCTCCGCCCTCCAGTTCGCCCACCGCTGCCGCAGTCGGCCCACGTCAAACGCCACCCGCATGTCGTCGCTCGGCGCTTCCCTAGGGCTGTCGGTCCGGACGTCCGGAGAAGGGGTACTGGCGTCCGTAGGGAGGGGCGAAGCGTCCGGAAGGGATGCACCGACGTCCGGAATGGTTGTACGGCCGCCGGAGAGGTTAGGCCGGACGTCCGCAGAAGGTGGACGAAGATTTCGGGGGGCCTTTCGGACGTCCGAACCTGGTGTTTGCGCAGCGGTTTCTCCGAGCGAATCCCTTCGGCTCGCGCCAACATCGTGTTCCACTTCGTCTTCTAGCACCTCCAAACCTCCTCGCTCGGGTGCGGCTGTTGCCGTCGGAATCCTTTCCCCCGCAGGGGGCTCCGCACTACCCGCCTCCGCCCCCCCCGACCGTCCTCGTTTGTTTCGCACCAACGCCGTTCCAGTCCGCTCGCTCTTTGCGGATTCGTCCGGTGATCCGTCCGCAGACCCCACACCGTCTGAATCCTCGCTGTCCCTCAAATCCGGACATGTGTCCGCCGCTCTGCGGACGTCCGGAGGGCCCGCGCTCGGCTTCCCTCGCACAAGGAATCCGCTCAGCGACGCCTGCCGGGGCTTCTTTCCGGGGGCAGTTTCGGCCGCGAGGGATCCCCCATTCCCCGACTGAGGGATCCCCCAGGGCGCGTGCGCGGCTTTTTCTGGGGCGGCTTTGCCAGCGGCCGGTACGTTTAAGAAGGCGTCCAGCGGCACCGGCGTCCGAGCGGCGCTCCGGACGCGTCCGAAGTGCGCGGACCTCGTTCCGGCCCCTCGTTCCGGTTCCGTTCTCTCCTGGGGAGTGTCTTCTTGCTCATCTTCTGACTCGTTTCTTGGGGGCTCTGATTGTGGAGAAGCTCGAGCCCCTTTTCGAGTTTCCTCTCCTGAAGGAACCTCAGCGCCACTCCCCTCTTCGTCATCTTCAGCATCTCTCCGGTCCTTGTTCCGTCGGCTCCTCGTTCCGTTCCGGCCCCCGATCTCCTCAGCGGACTCTGATCCCGCCTCCTCGTCTTCCCCTTCTTCCTCTTCCAACGCGTCTGCAAGACTCCGCATCTTTCTCGTTACCCCCCCGTTCGTCTCGTCCCCCGTTTGCTCTTCAACTCCCGGACTCAGAGCCCGCCGCTTTCTTGCCCCCTGACTCGGTTCCCCCCCGTTCGCTTCCCCTCCCGCCGAAAACGCTTCCAGACTGCGCTTTGTTCCGTTCTTCCCTTTACCGCGGGTTCCTTCCTCTTCCATTTCTCCACTCCCCCGCCCGTCTCTAGAACTGCGCTTCTCCGCATCCCTAATGTCCCCATCTTCTTCGCTCCCATCCTCTTCTAAACCCACACTCAGACTGCGCTTCCTTTTCTTTGCATCCCCTGTTTCTCGCCGGGCCCCCCTCCCCTTCTCCCCCATATTCTCCTCGCTCTCGTTCTCACTCTCCTCGTCCCCCCCCTCTTCTTCGCTGTCGCTACTTTCCGCCGACTCGTCCTCGTCTCCCCCCACGCTCAGAGTGCGCTTTTTCCCTGCCTTTGCCCCCCCCTTTTCTTTCGCCGGCTGGCTCTCTTGCACGCGGAACACGTACTTGTCCGGAGCGTACAGCTGCTCCAAGGATGTCCGGAGCGCGGATAAGAGATCCGCCTCCGTGTGCAGAAAGATCTTGCGCTTGTCGGGCGTCACGTTGACGTCATACGAGTCCTGGAAGAAAGGCACAGGTGGCAAATGAGTAGCGGCCTTCAAGCAATTGTTTCTTAAACGTCTAAGTGCACCAAGGACGTTTGGAGAGTGGAGAGGAGGCCTGCCTCCGTGTGCAGAAAGATCTTGCGCTTGTGGGGCGTCACGTTGACGTCATACGACTCCCGGAGAAAAGAGAGGCACAGGCGGCCTATCAGTGATGATCTTCGAGAGGTTTTTCCAGAAGCGTAAAAGTGCTCCAAAGACGTCTGGGGCGCAGATAAGAGGTCCGCCTCCGTCTGCAAGAATTTCATGCGCTTGTCGGGCGTCAAGTTGACATCATACAAGTCCTTGCCAAGGAGGCAACGAACGGATTCAGGTGCTGGTCTACAAACGGCTGGCTCATGATGAGATCAACCAGTAGATCGTTTCGGAAGACGGCGAGCCTCAAACAATCATAGGCAAAGCGTGGCAACATTGTCAACGACTTCCCTTCGGAGAAACCAGAAGGGATTGTTCGCGGAAGGGCGGCCCTGCTTCCGGAAGAAACGACTTCCAACAATGCGCACGACATTTCGATCCTTCCACGATGGACCACCGAAGAGATGGACACCTAGAGGAGGGTCCTGATTCGCAGCATGGGCGAAACGATTCGTGGTAGTAGAACAACTACCGGCAATAGACTCAACACTCCCTGATCGCAAAACCAGTTGCAACCTTTGGCTCACCGTGGGCAGCACAAAATTGAGAACCGCCATCGGGTACTGCAGGCTGTTGAACGCGCGGTATGTCTCGTTGAGCAGCTTCCCGACTTTGGGCATCTCCACGGGGCGCCCGTTCACGAACAGAAACTGCCGGTCGCCTGACGCGCGGCCGCAGCCCGCGCCGGCCTTGGACACGAACCTGAACGAAGAAATCGACAGGCTCAATTTCGGGCGACCATGCGCTCACAATTAGGCAATGCGGGACTGGGGTTGCTGTGTCGAATTATGCGTCGATTGTATGAAATTGACCATTTATGTACGAATACTGGCGGTCGCCCGACGCGCGGCCGCAGCTCGCGCCAGCCTTCGACACGAACCTGCACGTGGACGAGAAAGTGTCAGTCGTATCTGATGAGATAGCTTTGCGAACTTCGCTCCATCCGACTGCAAAATGAGTCTCTAACATCTACTCTCGCGGCTTAGCCCGCACATTACTTCTCTATGGAAAAAGAAACTCCACACTTACCCACAACTTTCGTGGAGGTCCCCGTTCGCACCTCAATGGCTCCAGGTGGCCGCGGGAATCGGCCCAAAGCACAAAAACAGAAGCAATACTTGCAAGGTCGTGAACAAGAAGAGCACTAGAAAGGAGCAAGTTCAAATTCGTGATAACTTACTCGAAACCTTTGTGCAAGTCCCAAATCGCAACCTCTACGTGGCCCAAACTTGCGGCAAATTTAGTTTCGAAGCACACAGAGGAAAGTTGACATTTCAAGCTCTTGGGGGCTGAGAAGCACCAAAATGAGCAAAGCAAAGAAGTCTGCTTCATCTCACCCGGTGACTTTGTACAAGCCCCGAGCGCCGCGTTTATGGGCTCCAAACTGACGCAAACTTGGTCCCAATCCTTACGACGGAACCGAAGCTTCCAAGCTCAAACACTAAAACAGCATCAGATTGAGCAATGCCTGAAGTTTTATTTCTTCCACCCAATAGTGTATGCGAGTCCCCGATCGCCACCTCTATGGGCTCCAGGCTGGCCGCGAACTCAATCTTAGATCCGAAAGATGGAAACTTCCGCTAGGATAAAAGGAAAGGCTTTGTTTTCCTTACCCAGTAACTTTGTGCGAGTCCCCAATCGCCACCTCAATCGGCTCCAAACTGGAGGCAAACTTGGTCCCGAACACGGTGACAATGTTGTCCCGGACGCTGCGGCCGCCCTGCGTCTGAATGACGGTGCTGCGTCCGGCGGACCCAGCTTGGTTTGTGCAGATGAGCCGGACGTCCGTAGAGATCAGAGCGTACGCCTGGAAGCATAAAGAAGGATAACATGACTTCGGACGCCCGGCTAATAGTAATCGTGGGAGCAGAAGAAGGAAGATGGTACTGCCTCCGGCGGACCCAGCCTGGTTCGTGCAGATGAGCCGGACGTCCATGATGATCAGAGCGTACGCCTGGGAGCAGAATGAAATAACTTCCGGACGTCCGTAGAATGCAAAGCGTAAGCCTGGGAGCATACAAAGAGAGTGGTGGGGCCAGCGGATCCGGCTTGGTTCGTGCAGATGAGCCGGACGTCAATGGATCTCAAATTGTACGCCTGGGAGATATCAAGCGCTTGCCAAGATTACAGAACAAAAGAAACTGATCATAGCTTGGGATGGGAGCAAGACTTTCAAAATGCAAAAGCTACACGGTTTTCAAATCGTGTCTGAAATTCTTGCATGATTTCTGACGCAACCTCGTCAAGCAGCAATATTTTGGAGCAGAAGGTTGGCATGAGACCCGGAACATCCGGATCGATTGAGCGTCCGCCTGAAGGCATAAAAAGGACGATATGAGATCCGGACGTCCGAGGAACCTAAAGGCGTACACCTTCGAGCGGAGCATAAGAAGGATGATCAGATTCGGAAGCCCGTAGAGAATCAGCGTACACCAGTGAGCATAACAGATGATTTGAGATACAGACGTCCGAAGAGATTGAGGACGACTGAGCTCCTCGCGGAAAAGCACTTGCTCTCGCTCCATACGTTGGGGTTAGAGCCCAATCGGAATACGTGAGCGCACCTGGAGCAGCGTCAGCAGTTTCCCATACTCGCGCTTGACGTTGCGCGTGAACTCGCGGTGGCGCACCGGCAGCGGCGAGAAGAGCTTGCCCACCGCCACTGTCGTGCCCACAGCGCGCGCCACCTTGCGCGAGCTCGCCACGCGGCCGTTGCGGTCGAACACGAGCTCCGTCGCAACGGGCTCCGCAGCAGTCCTGAAAGAATACGGTCTTCGAAATCATCATCCGCGAACCTCGGTGATAAGCAGTAACGCAAAAGCAGGCTTCTGGGCGAGGTACACACTTGCGGGTAAGGAGTGATGGGGCCCAGTCTGCCAAGGGATTGATGACAAGGAGATTGCAACCGAGTCCTTAGCAATACTGGAAGCGAGAGTGTCAAGTGAGGCGATGTTGGAAGCTGACTAAGGTTTGTTGTCCTCCATGTACTGCCACTTCCAACACCAAACTGTCAGGAAATGTGTCAAGAAAGTCCGCCCAAGCAGCCTTGATCTGTGCCACTCAGAAGAACGAGGCCTTCAGGCCTTTCAATATCCCCAAAGTTGCGCAGTGCAGCTCAAGGCATGCGATCAGACCCCTGGTCGGACGCCCGTTTTTGAAGACATGCCACAAGCCCCAGACCCAATCATATGCCAAAACGCTTGTATTTGGAGTTCTCATGATCAGAACTTTGAGTATCCTGAAGAGCTCAAACCGCAAGATAGCTTGCCTCGTTGTGATGGTGACATCAGCAAGCGCACACAGCGAGCTCAGCGCCTCCCCACGGAAGCCAAATGTGGCAAGCGACGTCAGGTCTGAGAATGTAGAAATCTTGGACGTGTGGTACTTGAGGGCCAAGCCCGCATGGTTTTCGGGCGCCACGCCGCAGCCATTGTCCGCGACTTCAATCAGCTCGGAGCCGTACTCTTTCAATCGGATGTCGATGTTTCGTGCTCCGGCGTCGAGGCTGCAACAGGGGACCAAAGCGCTATTACCAATGAAGCTGATACTGGGTTAAAGTTCGATGAAAAAACTCGATACCGTACTTTGTCAAGCGGATGTCGATGTTTCGCGCCCCAACATTGAGTCTGCAGACGAGAGCCAAATGAGGTGATGGACGAAGTAGAGGCTGTGTTTGGATCCTGACAGAATCATGGCCTTTGCGGGGCGCTTGAACAACCAGTGACCGCAGTAAGCTATTCTCTCTGCAAATTTCCACCTTGGAGCCATGCTCGTGCAGGCAAACTGTAAACTTCACGACCTGGTGTCAGGGCTGCCCTGAGGAGAGGGACAGGGATGTTAGCGGGAGGGATTTGCTTGATGAGGTATTAGCCAAAAGGCATTGCAATAATGCATTTGCTTCATCAATTGACATCAGAGAGCACAAAATCGATGAAACTCTATCCTCGAATCTCTGAGAGTGCTTTCCTTGTGGGGGGATGCACAACTGTGCAGCCGGCCATCAAGCAGGAGGATAAGAGTCCTCAAGAAACAGAAGGGCAGCTTACACTGTCTGTCTGTTGGGCATCATCCTCGCTCTATGTGGCAAAACCCAGACCCACAATTCAGCTATTGTCAGACTTTTTCAGTCATAAATGACCAACATTTATGAGCTTCCAAGTAGCTCATAACAGCCACTCTCACCAAACATCTCTCTTTGAGAAGACCTCAACGATTGCAGTGATCCGGGACCTGCGCCGAAGAAGCTGTTGATGAAATCAAAAACAATAAAGCAGCAGCGTGCTTCTCACCTGTTTTCCACAAGCTCTTTGACGGCCGTGGCTAGGTCGAGCACCACCTGCCCCGAACAGATTCGATGCACCGCTGCCTTGTCAATCGGCTTGATAGCACCACCCTGATGGCTGCCTCCTGCCATGGACCTGACTTCTTTTTGAAGAATGACTACAATTCGCTACAAGTCTGCAGCATTGCAGCGACCTGGCCAACCTACTCAGCGACGTGCACTGCTTTGCCCCAACTCTCAAAATTCTTCCCTACTCAAAACTCTAAAGGCTGATGTCTCACGCCAAACTACAATGAACTTTGCACTTTCCTCTACCCAAGGAGAGCTCTGCCCTTGCTTCCCCATTCAGACTTCAGTTCAGCCTTCAAGTTCCTCCATGGAATCAATGCAGGAAGAAATCAAAGTTGGCGCGCCATTTCTACTGACTGCGCGTTCAAGCGCGCGCTCATATAACAGGCGGCCGCGTGAGTGGCCCGTAGCGCGCGGACGGAGGCTAAATGCGCCGCCGCGCCGCGCGGCACTGACTCGAATTTTGTCGCGGCCGGCCGGCCGCGTCCGTTGACCTCGAAGACGTTGCACTGGCAAAGTTCGAACGTCTTGCATGTCGAAAGTCTGCGGAGCGGTCTCCGCAGGTCTTCTCTTCCACGTGCGAGCCATGGCTGCTCTGCAAAGTCACCCTTGTCAAAATTTCAGACACCTCCCGCAAGATCGCCTCGTGCGCTTGTTGTGGCTGCCCTTTCGTCGCTCAGGATTCTGGTCACAGGGAAGTGTGTGGTCCGCTTTCAACCACGACAGTCCAATGTAAGTATCTGCTCGTCAATCATCAAGTAATCTTACTTGCTGAGTGACGTTTTAGAGCCTTATCCGCTTCGTATTCTCTCTTCCGAAGAATATTCTCTGCCTTATTAGAGAGTTCTTCAATCATACTGGAGACCAAGCTGTGCTCATTTCAAGTTCCCTCGAGCTCAGAAGTCGGCTTTCGGTATCTTTCGGCAAGCAGAAGACCTTCCCTTCTGCAGGGACGCTGAGCAGGTCTCGAAGAAGACGGCCTGGCGAAGTGGCAACTGAAATGCACACTGGCTGCGCCAAGCTGCTCTCTTGTGCGTGCTGAGGCACTATGGCAGTGCAGCAAATCCGGGAGAAAGTCCTTCTAGAGCGGCTCTGCGGTGACGCTGGCTGAAGAAGCTTCGTTTTGGTAACTCTTGGAGAACAAGCTCCAAAAAGGTTCCGAGCGAAATTTGCAGAAAGCCTATCAGATTCCTGTGTTGCTTAACAGGAAAAGACTTCTTTGTTCACAGCAGGACAGACCATTTTTGGAAGAAGGTGCTTGTGCTGGCAAGGTCTTGATTGAGGTTTGGGAAAGAACAAGTAAGGGGCCTGCAAGGCTCTACTCAAACAGTTGGGAGCTTCTTCCGTGCATGGCTGATAGGACGTTTGTGTATGAAGCCACTCCAATAAAGAGACTCAATCTCGAAGAGCAAAGCCCCAGTGGGAAGCATGGAGCCGTACAAAGGCAAAGGTCGAGAAGCGAGGGAGACACCGAAGTCTTGGGGCCAAGGTTTGCTGCTAACCAAACGGTTAGGCTTCCGAGACCCTCCCTTGGGGAGCGCAGCGGAAGGAGGGAGCTTCCTGAGGTAACCCGTTTCCTAACCCGGTCCTGGGAGGCCATTCTGGAGTCTGACAGGGAGAACAAGGAGGGTTTGAAAAGGATCTCTGGGGTTGTTAAGCCACGAACTCTGAGGCGACGATCTCGAAGCTTGGGTGACGCAGATGGAGCCAGTCTTGCCAACAGATGGGGTTCGCTGCTTGGGGGGGCTCCCAGCAGTGCCAAGAGGACCCCCCGGGGAAGGTCTCTTAGCGAGGCAGACTCGCCTGTGCTGAAAAGGAACCAGACGTTTCCGTCGTTTTTTGGGCGGGGGGACGAGTCCAGTAGCAGGGGAAGGCGGCACTCGACCGGGGAATGGAAACCGGGGTCGGAAGGGGAGGGTTTGGTTCAGGGGGGTGCGGATCTGGGAGGAAAACCAGGGAGTGCTCGGTTGACTTCTTTGAAGCTCGCGGCGTTTGATGACGTCCTTCCCCAAAGTGAGAGCAGTGAGGAGAATGAGCCCGGAAAGGCGCGGCGAGCCTTGGCAAAGGCTGGAGCCTACTTGAGTAAGTTGTGATGTTCTACTCTGCCATGAGCTACGTAACTTTCTTCCGAAAGAGTGTGTCTTTCTGGAGCTGCATCTCTGCAGCAACGTCGTCGTCGTCTCGTTCCTAGGACGATCAAGACAGACGCACTTCAATTCTTCGGAGTTCGGCGTGCTTCGAGAAAGCTTTCTTTGCCGTGCTGCTTCTGCATTTTAGAGCTTGCCTTTCTTAGATCAGTTCCGGAAGATTGGGACCAACTCTAGTTGGTGAAGCTCGTAGTCGTCCAACCAAATTTCCGCAAGGCGACGCGATATTGCTGCACCCATTGCTTAGACGATTCGCTGTCTAGACGCGTTTCGTAAAGCTAGAAGCTGATTAGATGTTAACTCTCGGCTCCAGTTAAACACAAGGTGTCTTCGCCTCAAGATCTCAACCTGCATAATCACTTCGTTCGGTTGCCTTGGAATTTACCACTTATAACATAGGCTTCTGACAAAGGACTCTTATACATTGCCTGGCTCTTTTAGTCTCTGCAGATTGTCTAAGACGACCAAACGCTGCACACTTCGCCGTTTTCTGCTACCTCCTTGACACTAGTTTCTTTTCGCAGAGGACGCGGCTACTGTGACGGTCTCCGCCGGTGTCTGGTCATGCGGCGACCAGTTGCTCCAGCACCTAGTGTTCCACGGAACCGGGCGCTCGGTCAGGCAGCAAATGCAGTTACTAATGGCGGGAAAGGTTGGGGGAAGGGTTAGCGTCCAAACCCGGGTGCCCCTCGCGATCGGCCGGGACATGCTCGCCAACGCCTTCTCAATTGCCACGTAAGCAGTGGAAAGGCGACTCAGTAATTGCCTCTTTCAAATTTGTTTTTCTTTAATTGTCGTATTTTGTTTCCAGTTATTTTCTTTTCCTTCTGTCTTTTCGAGAAGGGGCATCGTGTCCTGCAAACAGGGGAGAAGGACGCGAGATCGTTTCGCGAGGAGAATGTGGTTGATGGGCGATGGAGTGTTGGCAAGTCCACTTGTGTCTGCCATTCCGCGGGTTGCGAAAACGAGAAGTGAAAGTTTCGCAGAAGGAAAGGTTGAAGTAGCCCTTTGACGTCGACCACCAGGCGACAGCAAAACGCCTGGACAACTCACTTCTCAGGAGTTCTACACAATCAGCCGTAAGCAAAGAAAACCGCAGTACTTTCTGCTCGTGTACCATATCCATCCCCATCCGTTCTCGTGTTTTGTCAAACTGAATCTCAGACTAACGTTTGTTGATTTGTGCAGGTTCGACTTTCTGTCCTCGCGCGGTGCCCCCCAGATGGTGGCCAGCACGGCGGGCACTTTCTCCGCGAGCGCAGTCACGGTCCCCGCCTGGCACCTCTCCTACCTCCTCCAGGTACGTACCGGGACGTTCGCAGGTTCGAAGTCCGCAAACATCTATTAGACGCGTATCTTTTGATACCGAAGGTACAAAAAAGCGGGATGAGGTGGGGGAATAAGAGGGCGATTGCGAATTTGGCATGCATGTTCAGTCCTGCGATAAGGGCAACTCTATCGAAGAGAGCGAAGCTGGGAAAGCGCATGACTCGTACGCGACTCTGCTTGAGCCGTTGCTCGGAACGTCAGTCGCTCGGAGTTGACGGATTCGAGCGTCAATCGATCCGTCTAGCTCGTGCCATTCCTGCGCATGAGCTTTCTTGATTGATAAGCTTGTCGATACGAATTGAAGAGGGATCATCCTACGGACCAGAACCAGACACCTTTCGCCTTTAGTTATTCCTCCCACGTAGTCCCTCACAGCTGTGGAATATTTTCGCTTGTCCGCCCGCTAACCTTGTTCATCTTTCTGGACCAGAGCGGCTGTCCCGCTTGCCTCCCCACTAACTCTTTCTTAATCTGGTTATCTTGCAGACCGGCGCGGCTTCGACTCCGCGGCAGGCCTGGGACCTGTTCATCGAGTCACAGGGCATCGAGGGACTCTTCTCGGGCCTGGTTCCAACCGTCGTCAGAAGCATCCCGACGAGCTTCGTGATGGTAGGTTTCATTCCAACGCTTCAGTGCAGAACTTTCGCCGTTGAAAACGATGCAAACTTTGTTTTCCCTGAGAATTGAGGGAATGGGTCGAAACATCTACGCTACTTTTCAGCTTCTTGTGTACGCTCTGTCTCGAGGAAACAAAGGCTTTTACGTACCAGTCCGACGGTACGTAACGGTTCAGCACCTGGAGCATGTCACACGATCCGCGTTCATTCCGCTTATTACATGAATGTAGAGTTGATTTGGACCTTTTACGTCCCTATATGAGATCAATTAACGCAGTAACACAGTCGTTGGAACTGGTTTGCTCAGTTATGGCTCGACCTTTTTCTTTCAGAGCGGCACGCACGCTGCCCTCAAGCGGCTCCTCGCGAAAGCCAAGAAGAGCGACCAGACGAACCTGCTCGACGTCTTCCTGCTCGGCGCCGCGGCCGGCTTCGCGTCCTCCGTGACGTCACTCTCGATCGACGCCGTCAGCAAGTCGGTGCCGACGCTCATCCTCAAGCGCGCGCCCGCGAGCGTGGTCGCGCTTGCGCTCGAGCGCGCGGCTCGCCACGTGGCGGCCCAAACCCTGTCCAAGGGGATTCTGGTGGGAATCGGCACCACCGGGCTGTCGTACGTCGTGGATGACGTCACGGGGAAGCTGCTGCAGAAACTAGAGGAGCGGGTAGTCAGCCCGCCACGTGGGCGCATCTCCACCGACCTCAAGTCGTTGGCGGTACAGAGGGCGCTGGACCACTCTGCGGGCGCCACGTGGCAGCATCACGACGGCCAGGACGGTGGCCATGGCCACGCGGACGCACGAAGTCCGTTCCAGATGCCGGACGTTGACGTCATGGGCGGTCATCATATGCATAGGGACTTCGCGGAGGCCCATAGTTTGGCGAGGCCCATAGCCGTAGCGGCTTAAAGGTCAAGTCCACGGAGCATGATGGCCGTGAAAGCTGGTCACTAGTCTAGAAGATTGTAAGAGAGTGGGGAAACGGTTCAAGTCGAGCGAAGTTGTAGGATATTTTCTCATCAAAGAGAGGAAAGCTGTAAGATTGTATTAGCACGGTGGTGCACCAGGATTGTCTAAGAAGCAACGGAACATTGAGGTTCGGTATATCAGAGTCGGTTATCGTTCCATTTCAGAAGAAGGATAAAGGAGAAAACCCCGCAACCGCATTGGTTGCATCAATTTTGGACTCGTAGTGCAACAACTTCGCTCAGGTTGAGAGAGAGATCATTAGGATTAAAGACTTGGAACGTCATAGCGAGGTCTTCAGAAGACCGCTTGCGGTGACATGCCATTGAGTTGGCTTTCTTCCTCGCGTCATATGTGTGGAATGTTTCCATTTCTGCACTGGCAGTACGCACAAATAGGCACATGACTGGTTTAGGGCCAAGCTTGGAAGCCTTCTGGCTTGCAAGCTATACGTGACTTCAAAGGAGTCCGATCAGCAGGGAGCCATCGACTTGCTGAGATCTTCACCTGCAAGTACCCTCTGTGCGTACTTTTACTTACAAAACGGAGCCCAGAGTTGAGTGCTTACAATTTTCTCATATTGCAGGTCAAAGCCGTTCCCGTGCTACATCAAATGTTCGATTGCAGTCGGACAATTAATTTGTATCCGCGCACTTTCGTCAGCCTACATGCATGGGCTAGCCTTCAGGAAAGACGATTTCTTCTCGTCAGCGGGCCTCATCTTCTTGACGTGCTTTGCCGTAAGCTTACTGGCCAAATCTGCAAGATCAGCCTAGCCTAGTTGGATCGATTGTCGAGGGGCCGCTCGATCCAATTGTCAGTCCGCTTCCGTCTTGGAAGATCTTTCGTAGCTTCGGATTACATGTTATTGTTGCTGCCTTAGCGGTGTCGTATTCTTCCTGAGCAAGAAGACTTTTGGAAACCTTTTTGCAACCTGCTGATGCTTCTCTTGACAAGCTACTGTTAGTCGTCTTGATAATGTGGAAACAATAGCATGTGTTGAGTTTCGCACGTACCATGCAGCCGCCGAATTCAGTTTCGCATCCGTTTTGATTGAACACCAATTGTAAGAAGCCCCAGGGCGCTCTTTACATCTTACATCTATCTCAGCCTTAGCAGTTGCTCGTAGCAACTATGGCGCACAGCACGCAAAGATGCAGGGAAGCTACAGGCGGTTCGTAGCAACTATGGCGCACAGCACGCAAAGATGCAGGGAAGCTACAGGCGGTAAGGCACCTCGAAAACAACTCGCAACCAAGGCGGCATACCGTCCAAAGTCTTCTCCGATGGAGCGCGACATTGCCAAGCTGTTCCTTCAGGAGCACCTGAACGACGTGGCCTTCATCGTGGGCCCGGAACGGTCGCGTCTTCCAGGCCACAAGGCAATCCTGGCCGCACGATGTCCCAAGTTTGAGGCTCTCTTCTCGGGAGGGTTTGGAGACTCCTCCGCAACAGAGGACGAGCTACCAGATGTGAATACCACCGCCTTCACCGCAATGCTGGATTACATCTACAGTGGCGATGTAAGCGGCTAAAGGATGGGGTTTAGAAATTAGCTTGACTGCCTTCTATCACTGATGGTCAGAACTTGTTGAAGATACTCAAATAGTAGCATTGCAAATACTGAGCAGCTGAGCTTGGTAGAAGCATGGGAGCTAGAATATTTCATTGGAGGTGAAAAATCAAGGTGCTGGTAACACTAGTACTCTTTTAAAAGACTCCTGAGATCACAAGTAAGGTCTTTCTTAAATTTCTTGTGGTGCCAAATGACCCACTTTCTTCTCGCAATCTCTTCTTCTTATGACTCACAAACCCATCATAACGCATCAAACATACTAATTGTAGATTCAACGAACCGGGCCCCCTTAACTCGCCTCGGGACGTATGCCTTGTGCACTCTTACTTGTCGGCCGTCTCAGGTTGAATGGAGATAGATCGAACTGCCGGTCACACGTGGTCTTCGAGCTAAAGTGGAAAATGTGGTGGATGCAGATGAGCTGCTTCAATGAGCTTGCGCCGGACACGCTTGCGGCGACCTTCGCCCTGGCGGACGAGTACATTCTGCCGCTACTCAGAGTGGGCTGTAAATTCGCGTTCACAGAAAGGGTAAGGTTCCAGTGCAGTGACTTCACGAACCCTGCCCGATTTGCCTGGCCCCTCCACCCCGGTGTCTTCGAGATTCGTCGAAGCCAAATGGATACTCGACAATGGCCAGTTTCTACAAAGGTTTACTTTCTTGTCCAGCTGGGTCCTGCTGACAGCAACTCCACAGTTTTCTCTAGTAACCTAGCATTATATCCCAGCAACTCTATAGTTTTCTCTAGTAACACAGCAGTATATGCCAGCAACTCCACCGTTTTAAGCAACGCTATGCTTAACTTTTATTGGCGAGACTTCTTTGTCTGTCCTGATAACAGTTCAACCTGCATCTTTGTAGTTTGCAGAAACCCGTACTAGAATTTTGCATCCTGAAATCTACCTAGGGGCTTAGGAGGAACCGTAGCTGAATGGGAGACCTATCACCGTGCTGCACAAAATGTCTATTCTAAACCCGCAGATGCAGCCTACGAATGCGTGCGAGACCCTTCCCATCGTGTCAGGGCGTCCCGAGTGCGCGGAGCTGGCGCAAATCTGCGAGCAGTACATTGCCGACTACTTTCACGACTTTTCAAAAGAGAGTCTGAAAGTGCTGACGGAGGATCTTGACCTTTTGTTAGCCGTCCTCAAGAACGGCATCGCTCCCAAGTAGATGCGACTTCTCAAGTCTCCCTTCGGGTCAAGGAGCTCAGCCTTCAAAACGAACGATCCACCTGGAACAAGGACCTAGATTTCTTGTGTTTCTCGTACGCGGGGTTTAGGATCAAAGTCATTGTGGCCAGCCCATGATTAACTCGATGTTTCACAATCATGGTTACGTCAGACTAATAAGGTTTTGTGACTTTGGTGCGATGTGAGGCAGCCATGTGACTAAGTTTGAATTGAAATAGTCGAGCTCGCATCCGACTGGACGGTTGACCATGAGGCGAGATTCAATATAACGTCGCTCAGTGACATGTGTATGATGGTAGCCTGTCTCATCATGTCCGGACTCCGCCTGCATGGTCGCCGATTATATCAGTGGCAGTCGAACAGCGTGAGCAGTCATTCTTGCACGTCGATTAGTATGATGTAAGAAAGCAGGCCGGCGAGCTACGTACACACGCCCCTTGAGAGGCGACGGCGATGAATGGACAGCATTTTCTACTGCAATGAACACTCGAGCCCATGGCGGCCGCCTTATGCATGATTCAATGCAGGCTCGTTGCCAGAGATTCAAGAAAAATTTATAGTCGCGCTATGACATGTGCTTGGCGGCCCGCAATACTAGCTTTCATAAGAAGTTCATGCGGGCGGCCACTGAGCGACGTCGTCAGAATTGAGAGATTGACCAGGATGCATGAGATTAATCTGCCAGGCTGGTGCAACCTGGCTCACGGGTACTTGATTCAGCGCGCCCCGAAACGCCACAGATGGAGTGCCTTCCATGCGCACGAGGAATTCAGCCGGTCAATGGATCCGTCTGCACGATTGTTTTGCCGCCCGCTCACTGAACACGTGCCAAGTACAAGCCGTCCAAGCTACTAGCATGCTGCTTGATATTTTCAAATTGAAGATAAGCTAACGCAACCGTCTGCTTGCGGATAAGACAATCTAGCTTGCTGCAACTTCTAAAGATTGACAGGCGCTTAGAACGCTGCAGAATTTAAGAATCTTCTTCGGAATTCAGTAAGTACGCACCTTTGACGCAGATTGTCTAATCCGCAAGTAGCAAGCGAGTCGGTGGAGCCTAGACACTAGCTGAAAGTTGTAAATATGAAAACCAAGAATCCAGATAGCTCAAACAAGCTACACTAGGCCCCATAAGATAACGGTGCTTGCTGTACGCGGAACTTTGTTTAGCCTACAAGCTTCAGCTCTCACAGGGACGAATCACCCTGCCCATTGGTAATCCCGCGTGCATATCACCCCCATCTGCTCTAAAGTTACGAGTTCCGTCACAAGGCATGATGGGCTCGCTCCGTTCCGCTTCCAACTAGTACCAGCTTGCCCTGTCCACCTACTGCGGCGCATATACCTTCAAATCATCATTCTACTCTCTCCCACAACAACCTGCCCTCTCGACTTCTCAACATAGCCGCTGAGCGTATTCACACCCTCGCTCCGCGCTCTACTCAAAGCGGGTGTGCATGCCCTTCGGCGCGGGCAGGCCCCGCAGTTTCCCCTCTTCTTCCTCTTCCACCTCGCCGTCCGAGTCGAACCTCACGTGCGAGCCCTCGTGCGCCGGCAGCCCGCGCAGAACAACAGGCCCGTCTGCGACTTGCAGCGACTCCATGACGTCACAGATGACGTCGAGGGACTCCGAGTCGAGCGCAGTCTCCTTGGTGGGCGATTCCGGCGGGGGCGATCCGGTGGAGTACCAGGCCGGAACGGGGAACTCTTGCGGGGCGGCAGGCGCGGAACCCGCGGCGGCCTTTGCAGGGGAGGGCTTCTTCTCCTGAGAGAGAAAGCAGTCAGGTCAGTGCATGGGCTTGGAAGGGGCACGCCTGACGAACTAAGAAACTAGTGGCTTCGGATCGATTCTACCTTTGCTGAAATTGCTAGTATGGACGAGCGAACATATCTGGAGGAATTCGCTTCGTCCTAAGCTTTTAACATCCTCGAACAGTTAAAACGCATCGCCGGTCATCGTCTACCGAGTTTCTGTGGCTCGCGTCGTGTACACATTTTGTTCCGACTTCGCAGAAACAGCCCACCTACGTGACAGCTAGTACCGAAATACTCTGTGCACTCATTCCTCTAGTTGTATTTCTTGTGTCTCCTTTGCTGCAGTCGCCGACTGCGCCCCTTTGCTCCAAAATCAATAGTGCGAGTTGTGCCTTGCGCGGGTCTCACCTTTTGCTTCTTGGCCGACTCGTTGTGCAGCGCCCTCCTCAGCAGCGGCAGCGTCGCCCCCACAACCCGCTTGCCCGCCGCCAGCTTGGGCGACAGCGGCGGAACCCCTAGCGCTTTCTTCGGGCCAGCGTCCTCCAGCACGACCGTGGGAAGGTCTTCGAACAGCGAGGGCTTGCCGGCGGCCGCGGCGTGGCGCCGCCATGCGACACGTGGCGCGGGGACGGGGCTGAAGACGCCGAGGGCCAGCGGGAGCTTCATCAGGGGGATGGTCGAGACTGCGGCAGAAGAGGACACATGTTTTGGCTGCCGTGTCAAGGCAAAGGAGGTGTCGTCAGAGTTACTCGCTTGTCTTTTCCGCCCTTGAGACGAGACTGGACATTAAAGTGATCTTTTCGCCGTTGAGAAAACATGTAGGTTTCCAAAGGCACGTCTCACCTGAAAGAAACTCTTTTCTTGGTTCGTCCACAAAGTTCGTCGAGGAACGACGTCAGACTAGGTCGACAGTTCAACTCAATAATTTTGGGATAGCTGAAGACACCCCGGAGAAAAGACACCCAGACGAGAGCCGCTTGAAAAGCAGAGAGCGGAGTTTCCAAATTGAGTCTATCAACCAGTCTCAAGCTCAGGACTCATGAAGTTGCTCCCAAACAACATCAACGAAACGCGAAAAGAATTCCTTGTCATACCATCCGGTCCCGTAGGAAAACTTGTCTGAGACTTTTCAGACCCACCTTGAGACGGCGCTTCCTCCTTCGGCCCGGACGGGCCCTCCTTTCGCTCAGCGTCGGAATCGGCGTCCGGTCCGTACCCATCCGTGTCACCGCCCGGTACGTACCGCTCGGGGCTGCTGACGTTGACTTCCATGGACCACTGCAGCTGGTGCTGCTGGACGCCAGATGCCGGGCTGTTCGAATTCAGCAGCGGCGACCAAACGTCCGCATCCTGCAAGAGAATGGTCGCCGAATCTGAGCAAGCAGAAATTTCCCGCGTGACAGAAATACTGTCTTTTCGAGAATGGAAGGCCACGCCTTGACGACCGGATTTGGCAGCAGAGAGCAGACGTCCGCATCCTGCGCTAGAATCGTCGACTTCGCAAAACGTTGGATGAGCAGGCGAAAGGAAGAAAAGAACTTGAGACGTTTCCGTCTTAGAAGCACCTTCAAAAACGTGACCGCTGAAGGTTTGAAACTGCCCTTGAAACTGCCTGCTCGAAGAAGCCAACAACCTGTGTTGATTGTTTTGTTTAAGCTGAAACCGGTTTTTTGCTCGTCACACAAGCTGCATTCTTTGGAGCCCCTCCTCTGGAGAGTCAACGACCCCCGAAATGAGCTTTTGCTCGGACCGACCAGATCACTCTATTCAGTTCAGGACCCCCTTCCAAACACCGTTGCGCACAAAAGATTTGCGTTCCTGGGACGACCAGAGCGCTCGATATGGTATCGAAGGGAAAAGTGCTTCTCAACCAAGGTCCGCTTTCAAAGCCTGCAGAATCCATTCACGTCAGCAAAACCGTTCGGGACTCCCTCCTCCGGGAACGTCACCACGACCATTGCTTCACAGACGCCTGCTCGGAACGACCGGAAGGCTCATTTCTAAGATAGACAAAACGACTTCCAGAAACGGAATTCTCAAAACGCAGTCCGCGCATTCCCCCTCACCTCAGCAGCATCGTTTGCGGATCCCTCCTCTGGAGATGGCACCACGACCACGGACTTGAGGCGCCTGCTCGGGACGACCGGGGTGCGGACGAGCAGCGCGGTGGGGCTGTCCGGATCACTATCCGCATCAAAACGGAGCGCCCGGGTGATGCTGTGCGAGGTGGGGGGCGGGGAGCCCTCGTCGTCGGTCTCTTCCGCTGCATGCTCTGCAAGGCCAAGAGAGCATTGGTCAACACTGACGAGAAGGTGGTTGATGTTGACAGTATATCCACGAGGCTTACGAGAGGAGCAAGTAGCCACAGCATGCCTTTAAAATGGGGGTCCCTAGTCGTTTTGCAGCGTGCTCTGCAAGAAAGATTGACATTTGTTTGATAAGGCATATGCCTAGGAATCGTGATTCGGAATGCTGAAATGGTTGTGGTTCACAGCATGCTCTGCAAAAAGATACAAGACAATGTTGAGGAGGGGCTTTTGCTTCGACGCTACGAGTCAGATTGTACAGAGTGGAGCTGTCGGACGTGAAAGTTGGTCGAAAGGTCTGAAGGTAGCGGTCGATGTTGATTGCTTCTGCTTAGTTCTGTCAAAGGAAGACGTAGTGTCTTTCCGAGCATCCGAGATACGTTGGACCTTTTATAGGAACAGATTGATGTGGAGACCCAATGGGCACACCGTATCAGCCGGAAAATCTGGATCCGTAACCGCTCAACAACACGGTTCTGCTGCATCAAGTGACAACAGCTTCATTTCGTTCCTTCGGCCTCGTTTGTCACCAGCTTTCAGCACAAAAGCCATCGAGAATGATCTAACATTTGGTATCTTTGTAAGACGTGATTCTGTTCTAGCCGAAGCCACCCCGGACAACGAATGCGGGGTGCAAACACACCTAGCATAAACACTGGCGAGCGGCTTCCTTTCGGACGAAATCTGTCCACTGTACAGGTGAGAGTCGCAATACTTCCTCTCTTTCAAATATTTCAATCCAAGAGCCGAATTCTGCACTCAAGATCTCTAAAGAAGAGAAGTATTCTCTTTTAAAATGAAGGTTTCGAATCCGAACGCAAGCCTTGAAGCCCACCTGTCTCCAGCTTCTCGATCGCCGCCGCCAGCAGCCGCCCCGCGCTCTCCTGCAAGCCCTTGTTCACGCTGCCTCCGAGCGCCACCTCAATCTCTGAGGAAGATGACGTCACAGGAGTGTTTGCTGGCGTGGGGGCCTTCTTGGTGGCGGAGCAGGGGCTGTACACGGAGGGCGCGTCGTCGGAGGGGAGCTCGAGCAGCGGGAGAGGGGCGAGCTCGGGCTGCTTCTCCAGTAGAGCGCGCACCTAGGGAGATGGCATCGGAGCGGTGTGAGATATCTGATCGTGACGACTTGAACTCTTTTGGACGCAAGGGGAATATTTGGGATGTGTGTCCGACAACTTTTTCCTGAGGGAGGGCTTGAAGACAAGTGGAGGGAACAGAGGGTGACAGAGAAAGTGGGGGCTGCTTTCTGAAAGAGGTCGTGCACCTGGAGAAGAAAGGAAGCGCAACTCGAGGAGGGGTGTCCAGGTTCCGAAGTGAAAGTTGCTCGTGAGAGAGATGAGGAAGTTCTACGGCACAGCTTCGATTTCCGTCTGGGCTTACTTCTGGTTCTGGACAGGAAGCTGAAAGGCTGAATGGATGGTGAAGGAGGGAACTAGAGCGGGTTGTTTGTCACGGAGACCTTGCAGAAATAGGTGAGCATGGATCTGAAAATGTTAATTGCAAAGCCGATGGGGTATGGGGCACGAGCAGGCCCGATTTTCTTTTTGGGTGTGTTTCCAGACGCGGACAGTGGGCCTGCAACAAAATGTCTAAAGACCTATTGTCAGAACTCCAAGTACACGAGAGCCACTCTGCGTACAGCTGTCCACAATAGATCGGGCGCAGAATGGATTTCAAAAGGCCTGAAAATGAAAACTGGAGAATCTAAGACACGGAGGCTGTGCAGCAAAGTCTGCACTGCCTGCATTGAGAGCAACTCGACTTCTCGTGAAAGAAGCGGACTTAACGCAAGCAAAGGCTTGAGCCCTTGCTGGGGCAGTCCAAGCTGTCAAGGCTCTCTGTATGCAACTAAGCCAAGTAATGCCCAAATGGGTCAATCCTTTCATTGTTCTCATGAGAAAGACGAGAAGTGCAACTAAGTGCAAAGTCGACAACCTGCGTCTCCTGCCAGAACATCTAGGTACATCATAGAGAGTCCTCGAATTCTGCCAGCCTAAGTGTTCACTGGGATCCATGTCAATGTATCTCGGGCACTGCAGAACTGGTCAAACCTTGCGCTCAGCTCAGACGAGCTATACGAGCGCCAGCTGTTAGGTTCTATTGAAAGTCGTGGCAACCAAAAAAGTGCGAACTCTGATGGTTGAGAAAAGAGGAACCCGATTGAGCAACTTAGTAATTAATTGCTGGGGCTTATGAAAGTCTGCAAACGAGAAGCTCTCAACAAGTCTCCAGGCGCACTGTTCTCCCTCCCGTTCTGCATCCCCCTTGGCACTCATCAACAAAAGAGGAGAGATCCCAGCCTCATCAAACGGAACAGTCACGGGTCCTGTGTACTACTGAAACCCCAAGTGACGAACCACATTCCAGCATCCCCTTGTGCACGTATAATGATAGGTCTGTCGCAGACCAGCAAATGCCATACGCACCTGAGACCGAAGCACCTCTTCTCCATCCTGTTGTGGCGAGCCGGGCCCTGACTTGGCAGGGGTGCGCTTCAGACGGCTCTGAGTTTGCAGCTTGCCAGGCACGATCCCGGCAATTGGGGAATTGCTGTTGGTCAGGTCGCAGAACGGGGCGCGCTCTTTGCTGTCTGCTGGAGCATCTGCCTTCTTCTTGGACTTTGCCTGGGAAGTGAAGGGCTTCTCTGCAAGTGGATCAAGGAAAGAAAGCTTTGGATTTAAGAAACTTGCAGCCTGGATGAGATCCCTTCATAGGATCGAAGGTTTCATGGCCGAATCCATGGTCAAAAGTTGTGTGGTGCAAGGGTGAAGGACATAAGAAGGATTGTATCTAGGGCGGATGTATCATGAGGAGTCTAACTGCACAGTCCCTTAGGAAGTTCAGGTCCCAGGAAAGTTTCCTGGACAAAAGCTGCAACTAGAGTACAGAAGTAGTGCATGGTGGGCGCCGTTGCTGAAATATGCAGTGGAGACAAGCTGACACATCGTTAGTTCGTAGAGCTCTGGAGCAGACTGCAAAGACAGACTCGTTGAAATGGTGAATTGCCTTTCTGCCTAATCTTGCTGTGGTCCTTCTGAACAGAAACACCTTGCCTTTCCATGCACCCTCGGATTGCCGATGTCTGGGAAAACCCTTGAAAGACGGGATACATTCCACACTGCGAGTGCTCCTATGCAGGCTCGACTGAAATATGCAAAGCTTCCAGCAAGGCAGCCTTTACGTTGACAAAACAAGCATTAGATGTGTGCTCTTCTTCGCAACAGCAACCATAGCAGCCCGATAGAAGCAGCTTGTTCAGGAACGTGGAACCCCCTTGTTGCCATTATGACAAAATCACTCCACAGTAGGCTACAGCCTAAGGAGGAGACGTTGGCAATCAGGTGCTCACCGGCAGTGTTTGGCTGAGAGCGTGCCCTGCTTCTGGTCAGCCTTTGCATTGTTGGGGTATCCATCTTCGCTGTTCACCACCTTCCCTGACAGCCCCTCCTCCTGGGTTTCAAGCCTCCTTGCTCAAGAGCGTCTCAAAGCGTTCAAGCACTCAGCAATGCAAACAGCCTCCTCGCGTGTCACTTGTCACTCTTGTCTCTTGTAGTGGCAGCACTCTTGTTCAGCCCTTTGCAGACTGCAACATTCAAGACGTTCCACAAGAGCGGCTAACGTCACTGAGGCAGTATGAAGCAGAGGAGTATTTGAACCTTCTTTGTGGCACAGAGCTGTCTCCTTTGCTCTCCCCTCTTGCCTCCTGGAGGACCTCCTCTTTGGCTTTCTTCGGACTTCCTCCTTGAAGCAGTCGTTTGTATGACGAAGCTAGCCGTTGACAGGGGATGAAGATTGTGTGCAGTCACGCCATCGACGGTTTAACTCAGCTGAGCCATAAACCTGCTGGGGGCGGCGCCTATAACCGTCGATGTTCTACGCGCGAGCGGCCTGCTGGCTCTAGCCCGACCATTTATCTGATCCAGCGCGCGCGGCAACGCGCCACATTTTGATACACGCGCCTTGCATTTCAACCACCAGCAATTTGTTGGCATGTGAAATATCCGGATTCCGGACTCGGAGCGACCGCGCTGTGCGCTAGGAGGGACTCATCATCGGCCCGGCCCTACTCCTGCCCTACTGCCGGCCCCCCTTACATATAAGTGCAGAACTCCCACTAAACTTTGTCAATTTCAGCTGGGTTTTTTGCTCCAGTCTTTTTTTTTTTTTTTGTATGAATAATCTGGCCACACGCAGCTCGTCATCAGGAGTCTGCGGACTGGCACACCGCTTTGGAGCGGATTTTCAAGTCAACTTTCTGGTACCGCTTCTAACGCTGCGGTGTACTGGATCTAGCACGTTTCCGAACATGCCGCTCATCTATGAGCGGAGCACCAGTGGTGGTGTTGACTGCTTCTCGAGTGGAGGCGCTCCTCTTCTTGGCGACATACTGCCATGACA